GAAAGGATTCTTTTGGGCACAAGGCATGGCCAGGGTGTTCGACAGCAGAGCACAGGGTAAGGGCTCGCACTAACTCCTGTCAGTGAGGAGCGAGACCCATCCTCTGGGGTGATCATGACCTGGTGCCTCTTCCATCATCAGCACTGGGGTCATGCATGCATTTGCTGTGGAAGATCCAGTACCGCTCTGCTTGGTCTTGTGGGTAGACACGAAAATTTCTCCTTCATTTCTGGCAAATCAGTCTGCCTCATTGGTTGGGAAGTTCATTTCAGTCCAAGTCCTGAGTGAAAAGCACAAATTTTAAAATCATTGAATAGAGTAATTATAATCAATTAAAGTAGATTTTAAGCCTACCATATTATGACAAATAAGGTATTTTTAGAATTTCTCAAATGAATGAAAAGACATAATTCAAAGTCAGTTTGAAGTTGGAGCCAACTGCTAAAAAGAGGAGGGGCTGTATGGGAAAAAGAACTTGAAACAAGGTTGACACTGTCAAAAGTTTATAGTTTAAAAAAAGTTGATAGCTGATATTTCATCAAAAGTAGTCTTATTTTAGTGGTTTAGCTTCAAGATACTGATTTTTTTCTACCTCTGAATAGTTTTCAAAAACAAGTTTCCTCAGAATGGTATTAACTGTCTCATTGAATTGAAATGACCCTATAGTTTATAGAATACATCCATCCTATCAAAATGAAAGTTTTGACAATTTTACACATGAGAATTTCCATTTCCAAGAAAGAAGCCTAGACAGGAATGATTAAATCCAAAATTACAATTTTATACATACTGTTCATTTCTCTTTTTCTTGATAAAATATGAGCTGAGGGACTTTGCATTACAAAGGACTTGCAAAGTAACCAAAGCAAAGACTTTTATACTTTACATTAATGTGAAACCATATTTGTATAACTATTCTGCTTTTCACTGTCAGTGGAACACTCAATGAATTACAAAAAACATCTAACACTATTGTACAATAAGCTGAATGTTCAATGATGTCAAGAAGATTTTCAAGTTTTAGCCTAGTTATTGAAATATCATTTAAATTTGAAAATGTTTTGATTTCTAGAAACCTACCTTATACATGCGCATGTGCACACACACACACACACACACACACACACAGGAGGAGAATTACAAAAAAATATTTATTATCTTGGAGTACACATTTATAAATTTTATTTTTCTATAGGATAATATACAACAATCAAAAATTCAGTTAAGCATATAATTGTGTATATATAATGATAGTCATA